AAAAAAAGGCCACTGCATGTATACCAAGGCAGAGGTCTATATGCGGTTTCGCCACAGTAGACATTGCCGCTGCTTCTGCTACCGAGCGCACACATTGGCACACGCCAATGAGGGATTTTTCGTGTTAGTGGAGTATTAACGGCATGCGCCGGTTTCTTTTTCATTCTTGCATTAAACGGGGAGGTGCGAAGAGCTGTGCAGTGGGGTGCCGCTCCCACCACTGCCACCCGCCCCCACAAGCACACAGTAAGAGAAAAAGAGAGGGAGCAAAAGGAGGCACAACCCCTCCCTGCTTCCGCTCTTCATTCTTTAACAGGAGAGTTTAGAAGGGCGCAACAGCGCGGACTCGTACTCGGTGAAGGCGGCGTCGGCATGCGCGCGTTGGCCCAGCGCCACCCAATCCGGCAGCATTGCCATCCCCGTGGCACTCTCCTCTCCCTCTTCGTTGTCGCCAGCCTGCTTCTGTTCTTTTTCTCTCCCTTCCTGCTGGTGTAGAAGTGGGAGGACGGCTTTTAGGTGTTGAATAGCACCAGCTACAGCAGCTGCGTGTTCGCTACGCTTGGCAAAAAGTTGCTGCGCCCATGCGTTGGTGGCGTACCTGGAATAGAGTGCACGCTCAATGTGCAGCGTACTTTGAACGTTAAGAATAGCTGCATCATCTTCAGTCTCCTCCTTGCCATCGTCACTCGCGTCTGTATTGCTGCGACTCTTGGCTCCGGCCAATACACGTTTTGCCATGCGGCTCCTCACGGCACTTTCCAACAGCAAGCCTCCCCGGGTGGTGTGGTTGAGAATCAGATGGCCCGCCTCGCGTGAGGCCCGCAGCAACTGCGCGACCACCGCCACGTCCTCCTGCTGCAGATGGGCGCCAACCTGACGGAACAGCGTTACGATCTGCAGCGCCACGTCCGTCACGGCGGTGGCGGACGCTCCGTAGAAAAGAGACGCGGCATCATCTGGCCTAGAGGAGCAACGAAGGGCGTCGGCAACCTTTGCGAAGAGCAGGCGAAGTCCGTCCTGGCTCAAGAGCCGCAGCGCTCGTCGCATGTGCTGCGGGTTCCACGCGACTGCGAAAGGGGCGCGTCCATCCACTGTGTATGAATCACCGTCGAGTAGAAACCGTAGGCCACGCGTGGCGTTGTGCCATTGTTTCACCAGCCGCGTGTGTACAAACGGTGCCGTCTCGATTGCAAGCACATTAACAACGACGTCATCCTTGCCGTCAGACTTTCCCTCGCCTGAGGTGGCCATCGCCAGGGCGTAGTGCAGCCGCAGTGGCTCCCGGTGCCCAATCGACGAGTGGTGTTGTTGTTGATGGCTTAACAGCCGCGTCACCTCCTGTTGGTAGTTGGCTGCAGCATCCTCACCCTCGTCATCATCGCCACTGCCGCTATAATCAGCCATTCCTGTTGTCTTTTCTGCGGCGGTGGGAAGAGCAGTGTAGAACGGCTCTGGGAGAGAGTGCCACACTGCGGTGCGGAGCACATCCACCGTGTATGGCCCCTCCTGTAGCGGCAACTCAGTGTACTCCACACGACCCCACCACGGTTCCTCGTTACTATTGTTGTTGTTTTTATTGTTGCTGGAGGTGCTGCTGTTGACGCCACCGCCCTTGCCACTCTCGTGACAGCGGTGGCGCTCCGCCAGCACAACGTGGGTCTGACTTTCTGCGTTGAACATGGTCGCCAGCGGAACGCGGTGTGCCGTCATTGGCACCGGGTCAAAGGAGGCGCAGCTGAAGGATGCCCCCGCCGGTGACTCCGAAGGCACGAGACAGGTGAAGTGAAGAGCAAAGGTACGCCTGTCCTGGGAGGCAACCGTCACAGCGAGGAGGTGCGGTCCTGCGAATTCGACTCGCTCCACTGACATTCCCGCAGGCATGGAGATCATCTGTGGCTTGCTCGCATTTGGCGTTTCAGAAGACTTCGTAGCAGTGGTCGCAGTTGTATTTTTCGGGAGCTCCACCACATGGCATGCGGAACCGTCTGCAGCAAAAACTGCAACGTAGGTTGGGTCGTCCACACTTTGCCCATCTGTGCTCGACACTGCCAACGCGCAGGCGGTGATTGCACTTTTCTTCGGCACGATGTGGCTGCTGTCCAAGAGCGCCACCTCCTCCGTTGTCACCGTCACATGAGGAGAATGAGTCAGCGTCACGCGCACAAGGCGGCCGGAGCCCGTCAGCAGCAGGCACGACGTTGCCGACAGCGCTCGAGCGCCGCACAGGCCCTCGCTCCCGAACCCAGTCTCCACCAGGCGTGCGTCCGCCAAGAAGGAGCGCCATTGCCGGTTCTCGCTCTTTGTCACCCGCGGCACGTCCGCTTTAGTAGCGATGTATAGCTTTCTGCTGCACTTCGACCCAGCGTTTTTGCTCCTGTTATCCTCTTCAACAAGTAAGACGATGGTATGGGCGCTCAGGCAACAAACCTCACACACGCGGTGTCCATGGCCAACCGTGTCAACGCGAACGGCCCACTGCAGTGCCCAAGTGTCGCAGCGGAACACACCAACGGCGAAGAAGAGTTCCTGTGACGAAGCAGATGATGCCTGTGAGAAGGCGAGTGCGACGTGCTCTCCCGCTACGTGCGCGTTGGCGTCGGTCCGTTGGTCGGCCTCGGCGCGCACCTTCTTCGGTGTTGCAAACGCACTCCACGACGCCAGCGGTGGCGGCGACGAGGTGCCCGTTGGATGCACTGCCTGAATTGTCGCTGCCGGGCGCCTGCCGTACATGTCGAGGAATGAGCCATCGCAAGCAACACGCCCAGTGGCGGAGAGTTGCACAATCGACATGTCTCCCTATGTGTGTTTGTTTGTTTGTTTGTGTCTGTTTGCGTGCACGTATTCCCTTCCTCAGCAAGAGGGGCGCTGAGCGGTGTGCTTCTTCACCTCCTAAAACCCTCCACGCGCAGAGTGTTAAAAACAATGATCGCAGTGGGAACAAGAAAAACAAGCGTGCAAATTCACAGATGAGCCGACTCAAGAACAAGGCACACTCTTCACTGGCGTACCAGGAAGGTGGGGGAGAGAGAGAGAGAAACATCTGCGTTTTCGTGTTTTTTTCCCTCATCCTTTCAGCCGTTCCTAAAGTGAGCAGGAGCTCACATCCCAAGCCCAGGCGAAGGAAAGGCGGCAGCGAGCGAGCGAGAGGGAGGGGGGGAGGGACTGCGGTGCTGCAGGAGCATGCCCCGTCCGCGCCGCCCGCCACTCCCCATCATCCCTCGTGGGCTCTTTCACCTCTTTTTCCTTCTCTGAGCGTCTCAATGCATTCTGGACTCCGCTATAACTCCTACATCTCTTCTTTCCTTGTTTTTTTTTGTTGTTTTATTTTTTTTTTCTGTTTGTTTGGGGGGTTCTTGCCTTTGGGGGGTTCTTGCCTTTGGGGGGAGGTTTTCATTCTCTTCATCGCGTACTACCGGCACACCCCCCTTCATCCCCACGGCCTCACCCCTTGCTCTTTTCTTCTTTCCCCTCGTCGGAGACTTAAAGTGGCGCTCCCATTTTGTGTGGGCTACTCAGTGTCCTTCATTCGCCACCTCTCGCTCCCCCTCTCTCTCTCTCTCTCGCGCGCACACGGCAAATATGCCTACGAGAAGAGCATCAGGAAGGCAAGCATCAGCGCAAACAGGCCGATAGCCTCCGTCAGGGCGAAACCAAGAATGGCGTAGTTGAACAGCATCTTCGTCAGGTTTGGCTGCCGCGCGCAGGCGACCAGCAGGTTGCCGAAGATGGTGCCAATGCCGAGGCCAACGCCGGCCAGCGCAATAGCCGCGAGCCCGGTGCCGACGTAGTGCAGGCCCTGCACAGAGATGGCTACGGTGGATGCCCGGCGCACAACCAATGCGGAGGGTGAAGCGGCAGCCACACGACGGGCCACAGGCTGAAGAGCAAGACGGCGCATCATCTTTTCAGGTTGTCTGTGTGTATCCGCTGTTTTTTTTTTACTGACGGGTGCTATTGCTGTTACTGCTGGCTTTTAATAACTGGGTTGATGAACGCAGAGAAGTACGTATGTAAACTCGGCACCTAGAATCCAAAATAAAAGACGTTACCAGGGAAAACAGAAGAGGTTGAAGAGGAGAACAAGAGTTAGCAACAGAGAGAGAGAGAAGGAGAGAGACAGATCCATGCATACACTGCAATGTACGCAACCCAACCCATACACACACAGACAGAGTGAGTTGGGCATGCCAAAACAAACTGCATCCCCCGCTACAGACATGTATGCTTGAGGCCGCTCTCCTCTACGCGCCGCCTAAGCGCTGGCAGTCTCGCCCCCGTCCACGGCCCCCGCGCTGCGCTCCTTCTTCACCACCTCTGCTGTCCACACTGTCTCAGCGGCAACATCGTGTCCCAGAATGTACCTCGTGTCCACGTACGACTTGCCGAGGCCGAAGCCGCTGCCAAAGGCGGTCACCGCCATGCGGGCGCCGACAGAGCGGAACACCACGAGGGAGAAGGCCGCGCCGCTCAGGAAGCCAAGGCTTGTCATCTTAAGTGTGTTGTCGATGATGTACCGCCACTTCTCCGCCTCCGTGAGGGACTCGCGCGGCAGCAGGACTTTCCCGCTAGCCACTGTCGAAACGCGCGTCGTCATGTCTGATCAATGGTGGCACCTCCACTACGCTATGCAGTTTTACTTCCTGCCACACCTACCACTCACGCTACCTAAACAGACTATAGGGCATGTGTGTGTGTGTGTGTGTGTGTGTGTGGGTGTGTGTTTGTGTTTTGAAGAAGAAGAGTTGGCGTATCATGGATGCAGCAGCGTGTGGTTGGAACTGTCCCAGGCACCTCACACAAAGCAGAAACATCTGTTGGAGGTGGGCTTTGTTGCAGTTCTGCGAGGAGGAAGGGGTTATTCCTCCTCCATCACCTCCAAAACAAACAACTACAAGAAGCACATATATATCCAACTTATTGGGACGGCTCCCAGAGTGCATACCGTTTGAGTCTTATGCACAACCCATCAGACCATCATCACACCCAGACACACACAGACACAGGTAAAGAATTATTCTGAGGTTTGCTAGCACGATCCCAGCGCAGAACGAAAGATATATACCTGACCTGCTGTACCTGCAGTGTCTCTGTGCCTACCGCAGCCCGCCAGAATATTGGTGTCGGCATATGGAGAATGTGCATTCACGAACCCACAAACAGAGAATAGTGCTTCTTCAAGTCACAAAGCCCTCACACCACACATCCTGTGAAGGCAAGCTCTTCAATTTTTTTTTAAAAAAACTGCCTATTGAATCTGACACCACGCGGTGCGCAGTTAGTCACGTGCTGTCCAGCTTCAGTGCAATGTAATAGAGCCGATACCGTGTCGTGTCTGCAACCGGTCGTTGCGACAGGAGAAGAGAGCATCGTTCACCCCAGTGAGCCCATTGCATCACGGGCATAGACGCGGGTGCTACTGGTTACTGAAATCAATCGCTGAGGCTGCTAGCGTCGATGAATTTTCCCTTGGATGTACAAGATGGTTGCGTCTCCTTGCCAACCCGTGGCGGAGATCACCCAGTGGAAGCACCAGGTACGATAAGCACACTAGCACATCGCGGTGCTGTATCTACTCATACTATCACACCCACACAGAGACATATATACATATATATATATATATATATATATGTTTGGAGGAGAAGAGAGAAAACGAAACCACATGACAGGGAGAACACAATGGAGCAGCGCCTTCTCGTAGATGTCTCTAGAAGAAGAAGTGTATTGGACTGCGTGAGTGAGGTGCACACAAGGCCCTGCACGCGGAAAATACAAACAAAAGAAAAGTGAACACACGCACACACTCACACGTAGAGAAATAAACAGGCAGGCAGACATGCAGAAGCCTGCCCGGAGTTGGCCGAAGGGAGCAGCTTCCTGTCTACTTCTTCTTGGTCTGGTGGCGGAGCGCTTCCTCCATCTTGGCGCGTCTCTTCTTGGCGGCCTTGAAGTTACCGAGGCGCTTCTTGCAGAACTTCAGCGCACGCTTGTCCTTACCTACACGCAGCAGCTCCTGCACGCGCTTCTCCATGGGGGAGAGGCCGACAAGGTCCGTGATGATCGCCTTGACAGCGCGCAGCTTCTTGTGCGGAAGGGCGTAGCGGTCGTTCGACGACGGGGCGCGGGCGCGGCGGGTTGTCTTGTGGCCCTTGTTGAAGCCGGCGATGATGCCGGTGCGCGCGGCGGGGGCCGCGGTCGTTGGTGCCATGTCGGGATGTCACACTCTGTGCGGGTGAGGGA